TAGGCAGAGTGTCGTATAATGTCCGTGAAAACAGGAGAAGCGGCAACGCACAGCTCTGAGCTGCGTTTCACATGAAACGCCTCCAGCTGGCTGGGGGTAAAGCCAGGGAGTTTTGTACATGGAAGTGTTTGGTTTTCAACAGGTGAATGACGCGGAAAGCACGGTGGCAGTGGAGTTCACCCCCACCATTCCTCACTGCAGCATGGCGACACTAATCGGCCTCTCCATAAAAGTAAAATTGATCAGATCTCTCCCTGAGAGATTTAAGGTGAGTCATCAAATCGATCTGGAAAGCAAAAGAGCAGGAATATGTTTGGGGAAAAAAAAAAAAAAAGGCAAAAAAACCCCCTAACTTACAGTGAAAAATAATTAGAGCTTTTTTTCATATTATGGGTGAGGGAAACACTCCAGGAACCAGAGAGGGCAGTGGGCTAAAATATGGGTGCAGCATGACCGTTCTGTGGCTGTCACGTCAAGGGCAGGTGGGGTTATGGAGGGCAGTTACCTGCAGTGCTCTAGGGCACGGGAGGAGGAGAGGTTGGTGCCTCACTCCCCCTGTCTGGAGGAAGCTTAAGCAGGTGGGAATGCAGAATATTCTTTGACTTTAGACTTTTATTTTATTCTGCTTTATATAGTAAGTGGGATTGGCAAGAATGTCCTTTTCTCCCCTCTTTTTGTTATCACCTTATTTTTATTAATTAATAGTTTGAACTGGAGCTTCCAGTGTTTTGTTGACTTGTCCCCTTTTTCTTTTCTGATGCTTTTTAAGCTGGATGTTCATATAACACCAGGAACACATGCCTCTGAGCATGCAGGTAAGGTTTCTAGTGCTCCATTTTGTGGTCTTCTTTGTTTTTTTTAATTTTAAAAATTAGGAGAGAGACTCCCATACCTGCAGAGCAGCTGTTTGGTATCTGGGGCTCTGCATGCGTCATTTCTGGGGGATGGTACAGGACAGGAATGTGTAATAATGGCACTCAGGTATGTTCTGTACCGTAATTGAAACATCTCAGGCAACCTGTGCTCTCAACTAGTCATTGATTTGCCTGGTTTATGGAGGACACAGAAAATGGGGAGAGGCTGGGGGGACATTTCTTCATGTGTTACGCCTACATGTGTAGCTGCCTGCTGCTGAATCATAAATGGCTTGTTGGTTTAACTTGTGGTAACGTGGTAGCTTTGACTTTAGACTGCAACTCTGCGGTGTGCTCAGCATCTGCAGAAGTACTACTCCACCTGAGTACCATAGCAACAGTGGGATTGCATGTCTTGATGTACAATGCTTTAACACAGACATTGTATACCAGTGTCTTGACCAGTTTCTTGTGGTGGTTTTTTTCCTACACAGTTAATAAACAGCTTGCTGATAAAGAACGTGTAGCAGCTGCTTTGGAGAACTCTCACTTGCTGGAAGTGGTGAATCAGTGTTTGTCTGCTCGATCATAATTGCCTGATGAGGAAATCATCGGTATTCTGCTGTGTTAAACTCATTTTGTATATAAGTGGTGATGCTAGCTAGTGTTGCGCTATACATGTATCTATGAGCAAAATAAAATCATTTGGATCTTCTTAAAGAAATGTTTCATTACTCCTTCAAAAAATAGTATGTGGGAAATTAGCTTACAGGCAGCTACAAAAATGTAATGAAAATCAGCTTTTAAATTTTATTAGTCATTGCATAGGTAGGATTTTTCTTTAAAAAGATTGTTTCAACCTGTTTTTACCTAGTTTCTCACGGTCCAAAATTAGTTATAAACTGCATTTTAGAGGTGGATTTTGCACACTGGACTTTACAAGTACAACAAGCTAATTGGCAGTTAAAATTCTTACATTCATGACTCTTTTGGACTGCTAATAAAATTTTAGCTTCAGCCATCAAAAATTGTATAAGTTCATGTTTACTACGTAACACATTTTAGCAATAAATGTAAAGACTTCTAAATAATCTACCTGGGGTTTATTATATTATCTTGGATTAGCTAAATATGGAGGGTTCTTTAGAACTGTATAAAATGTGATTTATTTTTAATTACTCATTTCTTGCAGTAGGAAATACAGTAACTTTGAGGTAGGGTTGTTTGGGTTTTTTTAATGCACCTGCTGCAATATAGGAGACAGTGATTCATAGTTTTCAGTATGCTGAAACAGTCCAGCTACACTCTGCTGAAGGACTTTCCTGGCAAAGTTTGACAGCTAAATGACAAGTTTTGCTTTAAATATATTGACATTTAATAATAATACCTAGCCTGTGCTTCTGGTCTGGGAAATGTGGCATTTACTAAGTTATTGACTTTGGCAGAAATTGACAATAGAAAAACTCATTAAGATAGAATTCCACAATTAATCTGAACTTTTGTAAAAGATGTTTCTAACTGTGGACCACATTGCAAAACAAAAACCTATTAAAGAAATCCTATCAGATATTTTGGTGCCTGCACACATGCAGTGTTGCCTTCATCGTCGTCAGTTACGTAGAGAGGGATACACTTTTTTAAAATTATGCACTTATTTAAGATTATGCTCACCTGTTTGATGGTAATGCTTTATATTTCAGTCGTGTTTTCTCTTGGAGGGTCTCAGATGCTATTTTAAAAATGGTGAAGCTTATGAACACTATGTAAACCACAGCCTAGTAGTCCAGTCTAGACTGTGTTGAGCAGCTGAGGAAACTGAAGCAGTGGTGATCCAAGTATGATATCTAAAGTCACATAGCAGAATAGGACAGAAACAAATCAAAATCTTCCCATTTCAGAAATGAGGCACCTACTTTGCACAGGGCTTCCACAGAAAGCCAACTTGTAGCAGCCTTAATTTGCTTATTTGGCTTTGTATCCTTTGAATGATCAGCACTTGCTTGAAACTGTAAATAAAGACAATATTTATGTAGTATTAATATTGGAAAAGGAGCAGAATGACCCAGATGTTAATACTATCTTTCCTCTCTGCCTCTCTTGCTGAATCATTGAACTGATTAGTTCTGACACTGCCAACGTTTGCACGACAAATTAAACTTCAACCATGGCAACGCGTGCAGGCAGCTCACAGGCAACATGCTTGGTTGGTTTGATTTTGTTCTCTGTTGTTTTTTTTTTTAAATAGCAAATTAATTTTTACCTCTCAGATTTTAGGGAAGAAGAGAATGCAAATATGTACTGGGGGAAAACAGAAGGATGACTAAGCTGCCAACATATTGCTTCAACCTGCACTCAAATAGAGAAGGAATCAGTAAATTATGTTTTGTTGAATCTCTGTGCTTGACTTTCACCACTACATAATTAGTTTTAAATAATTTATTGGGATGTTGGCACTTGCCTCATGAAGCATATTGTACACAGTAACCCTAGGGGTGCACTTTGCACCATTTACCTTTTCAGAGAAGCAACAGTATGTGGTTAGATTGTTTATAGTATATAGTTGGGGGATGACTTTTCAGTAAAGGGACTCTGTTCTAGGATATCAAAGAAAAGGTCTGACTCCTGTTACTTAGGGATGGAGAATTCTATTACTTTAGATCTGGCATGTTTCTTTAGTTGGTGTGGATATTGTATTTATGGTAACAGTAAGAACAAACTACAGTTACTTTGCTGAAGATCACAGGTCCTCCTGTACAGGCTCCCTCAGCTTGGATAGCTGCTTAATGATAATGTAATGCCAGTTCTAGCAGAAGTCTTCTGTTCTCTGGTTTTAATGATCTTTAGCTGACTCCTTCTGTATGGAGGTAAAGTGGGAGAAGAGAACATTAATTTGTTACAAATATTTATTTTCGGACTTATTTTCCCAAAAAGCTACCCCTAAATTTAGCCTCTAGAATGCTTTGTAATAGGACACATTACATCAGAAACGATGATGACCCTTTAGAGCAGCTGTGTTGAATACAAACAGCCCCATTCAAGTCCAGGAAAAATGCCAGAAGCAGACATCTGTTTCACATTCCTAGGCTCTGGGCAAAGCCTTCCAGGGGTGGCTGAATGGCATTCGCTCTCTCAGTCTGCAAACACCACACCAGGAGCTCCCTAGGGCAACTGGCTGCGTTGTGCACTAGAGTAACCTGCCATGTGTCTGGGCCTGCAGACCAACACAGTTTGTGCATCTTGGGTTCCACCACACTGCACATACTCGGGCCTGCCCGCACAGTCCTGCTCCCCACGAGGAAACAGACTTCTTCCCAGCTGCTCCCATTCTGTCATTGCTGCCTACACCAGCAATCTGAAACTTCTGAAGACTGTTCATCCCCCAATTTAATGAGCGGCAGGGAAGCAGCTTTGTATCCGAACATGCAACTGAACTGTCCATGGAAAAACTTCACACTTACAATGGCAATAATTCTTATGCTGCTGGGGTGGGGTGATGTGTACTACACACTGGGAACTGTTAGTTTAATAAAGTTATTTCAGTCTTCTGGCCAGGCTTAAGATTGATGTGTTTACATCAATAAAGTCCTTTGATAAAGATCTCCCTCTGGAGCTTTGATTTATAAACTACATGTTTTACAACGGTTTGTTGGGTTGGTTTTTTTTTGCTGTTAAAAACATTTCCCTTTAGCTTGTCGAGCAAACAACCATACCACTTTCCCTTCCTTTATGAAATGCACTGTTTGGCATAAATACAGACTGAGTCAACTTTTTTCCCCTAAATAAAAGATTATAGCAAAGTCTTTCAAATGTTACTGTGGAAAGGTAAGTATCAGCAAAGAGAATGAAACCAGAAGTTGAGGCCATTACCTGTGTGTTTAAGTCTGCTGGTATGTCTCACAACCATTTGCCAGCAACATTTAATAGAAAGCACATAAAACATTTTTCATTCCACAAAATGCTAAAAATACAAAAGATTTTTACAAAATGTATAAATAGCAGAAAGCCCTCATTTTGTTCAACAACTTCAGTAGTTTTGGAAGGCATGTTACCACACTCTGTAACCTTCTTACATACTTCTTGTTATCAATTCATGCCCCTCTTTCTTCATGTCCTACCTGTAAAGAGCCTTTCCATCCTGCAGCAGGTTATCTCCATTCCTTAACTTTCCTTTGTGGATCAAAGGAGCAGCCCTGTCTGCAGTCATAAAAATATCCTGGTTGTTTGGATGGTTGGAAACTCTGCTCTCCCAGCTTCATTCCACACACTCATCGGGGTCACTGAGTAACTTGCCAGTTGTCTCATCATTTTGCTTTTCATCATCTTGTTGCAGCACACACAAGCTTCAGATGCCAAGGCTGTTCTCTTTAGTACAGAACTTAAAACAGTCTCACTGCTCCCAGTGCAGGGCTGGGGGGAGAGAACAGGGCAGAAGTTAATTTCCAGCAAGTCTGTGGAACAAATATAACATGGGAATGGGGAAGAGCTGCCGCCTGGGAGCTTTGGGAAGGCACAGGAAGAGAAAGAGAAGGAAATGGGAGGGGTGTACAACAACTCACTGTGCTGTCACTAGCTGGGGGATGCCTCCAGCCTTGGTGTGTGGCAACGTGGAGAATATGTAGTGTCTACAGTGCTGGAGGCTTTGTTCTCCAAATTGCAGGGGAAATAAGTGAGTTACCATTACCATATGCTAGACAACTCCCACCTCTCTGGTTTCCTTGTCCCATACAAGCTGGCTGCCTGAAGGGGACATTCCCAGGTGGGGTCTGAAGCTAAGGCATGGCTGGCAGCATGGTCCCCCTCTGCCCTCTCTTGCTGGGCTCTTACTCAGCTCATCCCATTACTGCCCTTGCACTGCTGAAGGTAACAAGAAAGCCTTTGCCGTCCCACTGCAGGTAAGTCACAAACAGCAGGAGGAGACAGAATGATCAGAAGGACAAGTATCCTCATAAAACTAATGCTTTAAGTTGTCAAAGGGAGATGCACACCTTGCCAGATCATAAGTGCGGTGGCCAAAGAATGTGGGTAGCGGCTGTGTCCATGCTGAGCCAAGCAGGAAGACCCAAGCAACTGGCAAGTCATCGCTGCCAAACTCTCTCTACTGGACATGATCCTCCCCATTATTTTGATGTAACTTTGAGATGATGGTTTATCATAGCACTTTTTTTTTCTAATCTACCCAAATTAGTTTCATCTGAGTTCCCATCAGATGTGTCACACATGGCTTTGACCAAAATAACCTCAGCAGATTGTCAAGAGGTTGCTTAACCCCAGGATGCCCGGCAGCTTGATTTCTCTACACTTTTGCTAATGGAAGAGCTGGCACATGCTCTGTCTAAGGACTGTGAAGGTATCTAAGCAGCAATACTTATTTCCCCTGCAAAGTGGCAAATAAATCATCCACGTAGTCTGAAATGCTTGCAGAGAAAAACAATAAATGCCAATAGATTAAAAAAATTTTCTAATACTTTTAACAGAACAAAACTAGTTTTATTACTGAAAATCAGAAAATAGTTTTACTAACACTGTAGCCAGCTTTTTAAAAAAACATAATTACTTCTGAGGTAGGCAGAAAATGATTAGGAATGAGTCACA